GTCCAACACAGAACAAGATGACAGTTGTCCATAGACTGGAATATTCCACGAGTAACCAGTTCCGTGCCATGTTCAAATGCCACGCCTACCCTGGCTCAGGGATAAGGAGTGTACATGTCGTGCGACACAATGTCGCGGATGGGGTCAAGAACGGCATATGACTATCACTACCTTCCACCAATTCACTCTTGAGGGGAGGAAGTGATACGCTACTGCGGTCCCATTTACCAAGCTAGGCGTGCAGTTGTCTTCAAGATGAAAGTGTTACATGGTGCCGAATCAACTAGCTAGGAAGCAATCTCCACTTTCTGCCCCATTGCAGTACAGTTTATCTCATGACCACTGCACCACTTACATTGTGGATCCTCAGCGAAGGGCAGTTTCCTTTTCTTAAGCTCTCGTGCTACGATTTTCAGAAACGATGATATCTTCTTTCGAAGGAATTCATATATATGAATAGGAGTAGCCAGTGACATAGGTGAGAAACGTACCTCATCATCCGGTATGTAGGGAAGTTTTGGGTTGGTCTCATAGCAGATAGCTGCAAATAATTTTTTAGGAAAATCATAACGTAGAAAATCATGGAGTCCGGTCAAAGAGCTCGAGACTGGATGTGTCTCTTGATGTTCAAGCAACTCACGGAATTCACAGAATTCTCCGGTATAGCCAGGTGTGTTGCAAGACCTGCTGGAGGACAATGGTTGTGATTGGGCATCGACATTCGAACTCGAAGAGCCAGCTGATCCGTGGCGGTCTTGCTGCATTAAATGTGATATGATATGATGACTGATATGTTGATGATATGATGTAATATGATTACAAGCCTTTCATTTCTCCGTGCTGATGCTCCCCGCCTTACATTCGGCTGAGAGGTATGTTCGTGGTGAGTGAGTGCATACGAAGGGGAAAAATGGGTTGTGAGGGAATTGTGTCAACGAATGAAAACCTGGACATGCCTGATACCATGGTAATTTCAAGCATGGTTGGAAACAAGCCACGCTTTCAACGCTTCCAGCAGAAATCCCGCACCTTCCCCGCCACCATTGAGAATTACTAGCCACTGCAGACTTTGTTTGTCCCTAAGCACAGATTCGCCTCTCATTGGATCAAATCTGATTCAGGGGCTGGATTACAAGGTTCGCATAAATGAAATCAGAAGGAGGCTCTGCCGCGCATCTGATGCAGTGTTTGTGGGAGTAGTGTGTGAAGTTGCCGCTACAGTCTAACGCTAGAAAATATGAAATCAGAAAGACTGACTAGGACTTCACTAAAAGCAATAGAACTTTCACACTAATAACGCGCCGTCCAAACTGTCCAAACAGTGACAGATAATTTGGGACTGATAAGAGATTGTCCTTCTCGTTGCCGCACGGGTCCGCCAGACCTGCTCCAGTCAGTTACTATCTTTCCATCGTCTGTTGAAGATCGTTAATTGAGTAAATTCCCCGATAGTATCGACTAATACATCAGCATCTTTTCGATTCCTAGCGATTCTGTCCCTACAGATAGACCTGAAGATACAGTGGGTCAATTTGGCACTGAGGAAAAGAAGTAATGTGACATACTTGGATCAATATACTCATGGCTTTGACATTTTCAGTTTCGATAAACTAACAGGCCTCTGACATCTGACTTTTCGTCTCAACCTACATCTGAATGAGCGGTATGGGTCGTGCCGCGGCGCTTTCTATTTGAAACGCATGGCCTTGTATTACTTGGAGATAATATCGTATCTTGGTGCAACTGTGATTCACAACTCTCACGCAAACAAGATTTTTTCAAGTTTCTCAAAGAAAGAGACTAGCACCGAAGGAGAAAAAACTGAACCCTCTAATAAAGATATTATAATTCGCACAATATGAAGATAAACTGGACGGAGGTGTGTATGACAAGTGGCACGCTTACACTCCGCAGGCGACACGGTTCGAATCCGGTCGACACCCGCCAGGCCTAACCTAAGCATCTAACCCTCCGGGCTAAATGGAACCAGATTCGGTCTGATGGAGGATTAAAACACTGATACTTTTACATCGGCTGGCCACCGCAAGTCATTGTAATTGCGCAACATCGCAATCCAACTAACACCACTACGATTCTGAATGGAAAGTAGAATGCGTGCCGCATCCACAACCAAGGGATTGATCAACGGCGAAGACTTTATCCTTTGTCCTTTTAAGATGAACTACGTTGCCGTGGCGGAGCCCTTTCCAATCGCGGGCTCTATCTCAGTCAATGGTGGGACATACTGAAGTGTTTCCCTAGCATTTTTAGAGTGGGAGTATCGCATTTACCAGAGCCTGTTCTGCGAGATATCGAAGTTAAGGAGTGCTTTCAGTTGACATCGTCGGAAACACTCGGGCGATGACAGGAGACGTTTAGTGGGTTCGCCCCTAACTGCATTTTCTACCAACATTGATCGGTTAGTGAATATTGTGAAATTTCAGTGATGGTCGAGTCAGGAGGAAAACCATCAATGGCAGAAAACGCCGCGAATGAGCTCATTTCATTTCTGCTACGCCCGAGTGAATGTTTCAATACCAGTAGTACTAACTTTCGCCCCGCTTTCTATGAAGAGCATCGCGTGCGCCATGAGCTAGGACGGTCACATGCTGAGAAAAGACAAGAGGTTTTTCTTCTGAAGATTAAACAATTCTGGGATTAGTTCGCATTAGCAGAGACGAGATTCGTAGTGTGCACGCACTATCCTGCAGGGGAATCGGGGAACGCACAATGGTGATGAATTCCTTTGTTTCGACCCTTATTCAATTGCAATTTTTTCAGTAACATCTGTACTGAATTGTACTTAAAAGACTTTCGATTGCTCCACGTACCTCTAGAGCCTCGTGAATTCCAGCGATTCGAGGGTTTTCCGGATGCTCGAAGATCTCCACCGCCTTATCGTTGACGCCACGTGCGGAACACTGAACACTTCATTATTTTGTACTTGTGACATTATGATGGGTGCTGTTTTTCGCTGCAGTCGTTTTCAGTTTTTGTTCTCTCTGGAAGTTATTTCAACAACGCTGGGTTGGTGAACCTAG